ACATCCAGAACATGATAACCAGGAGGCTGTTGAGCATGCGCCTTCTTTTCTGTGCCAGGCCTTATCAGGACATTGACTTTAGCCACATCCGTGCCATAGCTTTTTCACAGCTTGTTTGATTAGTGCTTATTAGCCTGACATCCATAACAACACAAGTGTGTTGCTGTCTTCTGTCATCTTCAGGCCTGACTCGGGCTGGGGGAACTTGATGATGTCATAGTGGTCAGACTTGTTTCTCTTGGGTTGCTCTTGGGAGGGTACTGGGCTGCCTCTGAAGCTTCAGGGTCTTGGGCTACCAGCAGGTGGGTGACTTGAGAATGTAGATACCTTTCAGTATTGTCTTCTTGCCCCCACAACAGGATTTCTCCGCCTTCCTCTGCCTCTGTGTTCATGGCATGCACCACCACTGCCCAGTGGCATTCTTGACTTTTAAGGCCTTTTCTTTGACATCAATTTTGGGAGGACAAGAACCTTATTTGTTTGCTTTTGGCACCATCTTGGCAAAAGCTAAGTTTTTTTTTTTTTAATTTTTTTTATTTATTATGTATGCAGTGCTCTGACTGCATGTATCCTTGCAGGCCAGAAGAGGGCACCAAATTTCATTACAGATGGTTGTGAGTTTTAAACTCACAGAGATCTGCCTGCCTCTGCCTCCCAAGTTTGTGCTGGGATTAAAGGCGTGCTCCACCACTGCCTGGCTGTGCCTAAATTATAGTGACCTTTCTACTTGCAGCCACAGCTGGATGGTCAAATTCAAAGTAGCTGTTTAATGAGAAGCAGCCCCTTGAACTTCTCCCCTGAAACACAATCGCAGGACATGCAGTGCTGAGGAGTCGTCCTTAGGAGGACTGTTGTTTAAGGAAGGTGGGCAACTGTTGTTAGATAGTGTCCGGGTACTGTGCCCTAGAGGACTGGGGGAGCAGTAGGAGTCACTAAGCCTGAGAGCAGGGCTTGTTGCTGAAGAAACAACATGGCCCAGTCAGTTGCTTTTCTGTCTTTTTTGACCTGCAACTTACCCTCAGAAACAAGAGTGCTCACTGAACAGTCACTTGGCTGGAAGATTGCGCTGCCCGTCTTCCTAGTTCTCGTCCTCCCACAGTGATTGGTGGACAGTCAGCTTGTCAACCTCCCTGAAGTTGTAGGCCCTTGGCATTAAAATTGTTTTGTTCTTGCTCCCCATTCATGCTAGATGTATGACTTGCAATTAGGGGAACTGTCCTTTTTGACTGGCTCTACTGGCTGCCTAATGAAGCAATTTACTAACCTAGGGCCAATTATCTGTCAGGAAGCGTTATTTAATAGCCACTGTGTACAGGTGGTATGGGAAGTGAAACTAGTTTTTGGTTTTTGTTTTTTTTTTGGTTTTTTTTTTTTTTTTGTTTTTTTTTTGGTTTTTTTTTTTTTTTGGTCTTTTGGGTCTTTTTTGTTTTGTTTTTGGAGACAGGGTTTCCTGGTATTCGCTTTATAGGCCAGACTGGCCTCGAACTCACAGTGATCCGCCTGCTTCTGCCTCCCTAGTGGTGGGATTAAAGGCGTGCGCCACCATTGCCCAGCTGTCTTTTGGATCTTAATTTGGATGAAACACACATATAGTCAGCATTCCTATAGGGAGAGTGAAATAAAGTATGTAGAGGAACAAGCAGTAAGGGCCATATGGAAGAAAGAATAACTGTTTCTTACTGAGGGGGGCTAGGAGAGCTGAAGAGAGAAGGCATTTTAGTAAAATCATAAAGGGATGAATAGGAATTCAAGAGACATAGAAGACATTTCAGAGTCACACCATGGGCACTGACATAGACCCTAGATAATATCTGGCATTTTGGAGCAAATGTACTTCAATTAGACAGTATTTTCAGAGAATGAAATGAAGTTGGAAAGGAAACTGAAAGCTATATCTTAGAGAACTTGGAATGTAAAAAAAAAATTTTCCTAGATTTATTTTTTATGCATGCATGTTTGTCCTACATGTATGTATATGTTAGCAGAGGTCAGAAGAAGGTGCTGGATCCCCTGGAACTGGAGTTACAGATGATTTTGAACATTGTGTGGGTACTGGGAACCAAACTCAGGTCTTCTGCAAGACCAGGTGTTCTAAGTCGCCGAGCCATCTCTTCAGCCACAAATATGCTAAGGAATTTTGATTTTATTCTGTACATAATTAGATATTGAATTCTGTGTGTGTGTGTGTCAATGTGTTTCAATTCACATTGGTCTTGGTCTATTTTCGTTTTTCAAGACAGGGTTTCTCTTTTAACCAGATTAACTCTAGTTGTCCTGGAACTCTCTCTGTAGACCAGGCTGGCTTTGAACTCAAAAGAGATCTGCCTGCTTTTGCCTCCCGAGTGCTGGGTATAAAGGCTTGAGCTACTACTGCCTGGCTGGTCTTGGTCTATTTTTAACTGTAAGGTTTAAGGTGTTAGGTAGAGAAGGTGTGAATCATTGCTGGAATTAAAGGCAGTTGCCACTATTCCTGGCATCATAAAAAAATTTTAGTGTCTTAGCCCATTGGTAAGAGGTAGTCTTTTGGCTTTATTTGTGTGTTTTGAGGTCTTTATTTCAATATTGTCTGCCAGATCTATACTATATAAGTTAATGTGAAAATTAGCCATATTATAGCATAGCTGGACTGTAGGCAATTTGGCCTTTAGATAGTAAATGTGGGTTATTGTTATTTGTACCCAAGAAGGAAATATTTTAGACTTTCCAGGCCATATGGTTGCAACTGTTAACTGCCACTAGAGAATAAATTAGAGCCATAGGCAGCACATAAACAACTGGTATGGCTCTTTAGTCTCAGAGAAATAGTAGTTTGCATGTAGAAAGAAGTATGAGATACTTTATGAGAAGGATTATCAGTGCTTTGCATTGACCAAGATGAATGTTCAGGCATAGCAAAATGGGAGAAGAAAATTGTAGAACATTCTGTATTAGTATTCAGGCATCTGTATGGCCTGCACTTGGGGTTCTGACAGGCTCCATCCTCAGCTGTAGCCACTAAGAGCGCCTCCTGTGCACATTCACCCTTTTATAAGGGCCCTGACTACCTCCCATCGCTTTCTCTCTCTGCCTCTCTCTTCTCTTCTGCTGATCCTGTCCCAGAGGCCGGCCTCCCCCCTCCCCTTTCCCCTTCTATGTTCCCTTTCCCCTAATAAAAAAATCCTTTCACGTGAACTCTGTTGCATGGTGTCTGCCTCTTGTGCTGCTTTTTTTTTTTTTTAATTACAACCTGTAGGTTGTTCATCTTTGGGGGACCTGGGAAAGCTGGGTGCTGGCCACGTCCCGGAGTAGCTGACTGTTTCACTTCACTGTCCAGGCTCTGTGCGACTCTCAGGCACTGCCTGGACCTGGCAGAATGCTTTTCGCGGTGGATCCAAGTCGACCCCTAGGGCTTAAAGCACCTGATTCTTTTTCTGTCACCACAGCATCACCCAGACGTGTTTTGATAGTCTTATGCCTCCAGCTCTAGGGCCCACAGCTGGTAGGTCTGTAACAGTAACTGATTAGGAATGGTCAGTGATCTCCAAAAACATCCCAATGGGAGCAAGGAGGTACAAACGATGACACAGCTCCCATGAGTGAGACCCAAGAGTCTGCAATTCCTAGTGTCCTAGGAAATAAGAATGGGTCAGTTTCAAGACAGGCACAGGCTGTCCAATGAGCAGACACACAAAGTGTGGGGCCCAAGAATTCTGAGCTGGAGAGAGACACAGTCAGTCGCCTGGTACCAGGACTTTGAGAAAAGCCAAAATGCGAGGGAAGGACCGTGCTTGAGAAAGGAAGTCTCACATCCAGGGGAATGGTCAAAGGTAGGTAGCCTTGCCAGAGACCCAGTTGCCAGTATTGAATGGAAGGTGAAGCTGCCAGTGAGCGAGAAAGCAGATTTGTTGCAGGTGGAAGAGAGTGGATCTGTTGAGGGTGGAGCAGGAGGTGGGTGGGGTACCAGTGTGAAGTGATTACTTTTCAGTGGGCTCTGCCTCTAAGCAAAAATGCTGCACACAACAGAGTTAATGTGAAAGGTTTGTGTGTGTGTGTGTGAAGAGTGAAAAGGTGATGCTTCCTTTTATCTCTCAGGATCCCTCCCTGGCAGAATGTTACAAAGGTCCCGTGAAATGTCAGGATATAGAGTGCTGGAAAGCAGATTTTTGGTAGGCTTATTCTCCATGTGTGAGGCAGAATGAGATCCAATAGTTTTTTATCAGGTGAGGATCGAACGAAAAAGGTACAAGCTGCCATGGAGAGTCGTCACTCAAGGAGTGGGAGATGTAGGGCAAAGCCTGAAGGACCCAAGGCATCACTCTGTAGTCCAGGCTGGCCTAAAACTCACTGTGTAGCCCAGGCTAGCCTCGAACTGTAAGCAATCCACTTTTCTTAGTCTCCTTAGTACTAAGATTATAAGCGTGTACCACCAGACCCAGAATTATGCCCTCTGTTTCTTTTCCATTTCATATAGTTAGGACCCTAAAATATATCTTTAATCATGAAGGCCCCCCCTCCATGTTCTAAAAACCTTGATTGTCTCTCGTCACCTGCAGGTGATTGTCTCTCAGTTCCTTTAAGTGCTTTGTGATCTGATTGGACTTACCTTGTCTTAGAAAACATCACTACAAAATGTAGTGTGCACAGCTGTTTCTTTAGCTATTTTGGCAAAAAAAAGAATCTTAGAGGACTTGTAGTTCCCACCCTTGCACAACTCTATATGCAAAGAGCACTGGAGAAATATCTTAGTCATGGTGGTGTACATCTGAAATTCTAGCACTGAAGAGGCTGAGGCTGGGGAATTAGGTTGGCTGCATAATGAGCCTCTGTATCCTGTTGTACAGTCTGGTCTCCACTTGTTTAGCTTGTGCTTGTTCCTGACTCTGGCTCACCATCGTGTCAGTCCCCTTTTCAAAAGCTCGTGTAGGAACTGGCCAGATAGCTGTGTGGGTAAAGGGTGTCATAGTCACTGTTCTAGTGCTGTGAAGATACACCACGACCAAGGCAGCTCTTAGAAAAGGAAGCATTTATTTTGGGGTTTGCTTACAGTTTCTGAGGTTATTGTATTATCATGGTAGGAGCATGGTGGTACGCCTGGTGCTGGAGCGCATGGTGCTGAAGCAGTAGCTGCAGATAAGGGGGGATGGGGAAGAGAGAGAGAGAGAGAGAGAGAGAGAGAGAGAGAGAATGAGCATACTGGATTGCTTATGTGCTTTGAAATCTCCTGCCCACCTCCAGCGATAGACTTTTCTCCAGCAAAGCCTCACCTTAAAATCTTTCTCAAATAGTGCCACTCCCTGATGACTAAGTTTTTAAATAGATGAGCCTATAGGGGCATTGTTATTTAAACCACCATTAGGTGCTTGCCATCAAGCCTGAGGACTTGAGTTTGATCCCCAAGACCATACATAGAGTAGAAGGAGAGAACTGACTTACTGAAAGTTGCGCTGTGATTTCCATGCACCTTGTTCCCTTAAAGTAAAAAATATAAAAATAAAATAATTAAAATCCCACTTAGTATGAGTTCTCCCAGGAGGCTTTTACACCTCTCTCCTCTTGGCCTCTTAACCTGTAACCTGGCCATTGCTTTCCCACTCCTTACCGCCTCCTTGAAGCCTGTGTCCTTTGACCTCAGATATAAGGTGTGCTTGCTTGCCTTGCTCTCTCTCCCCTTCCTTCCTTCCTTTTTTTTTTTTTTTCTGTCCTCGAACTTACCTTGTAGACCAGGCTCCACCTGCCTCTGCCTCGCAAGTGCTGGTATTAAAGGTGTGCACCACCATATCCGACTCAGATGTGTTTTTTATTTCATGGTATTTTTAAAATCTCTACCACAGTAAATAGAATTGTTTCTTTCATGTTTATAGTTTAATATCCCTGGTTACATTTCTTGTGTTGTCCTAAAAAAAAAGCAACATCTAACTTTGTTGTTTTGGTTGTGAGGCTAGCTTTTAATGGCTGAGCTATCTCTTCGGTCTAAGCAACATATATTTTGAAGGAATTCTGTCTAAACAAAAAGGCTTAGCGCTAACTAAAAGGGGGAAATTTCAGTTTTGTGGAAACTGCTTGTATAAAGTGTTACAATTTTCTTCTCTCTTTTTTTTAAAATATTTATTTATTTATTAAGTAAACAATGTTCTTTCTGTGTGTATGCCCGCAGGCCAGAAGAGGGCACCAGATCCCCTTACAGATGGTTGTGAGCCACCATGTGGTTGCTGGGAATTGAACTCAGGACCTTGGGAAGAGCAGGCAATGCTCTTAACCTCTGAGCCATCTCTCCAGCCCTACAATTTTCTTCTCTTACAGGTTAATTATTTGACATTTATTTAGTGTACGTTGGTATTTTGCCTTCATGTATGTCAGATCCTCTGGAACAGGAGTTACAGACAGGTGTGAGCTGCCATTGTTGGTTCTGGGAATTGAACCTGGATCCTCTGGAAGAGCTCTTAACCACTGAGCCATCTGTTCAGCCCCCCACCCTTTATTTTTTATTTTTTTGAGACAAGATCTTACTGTGTAACTCTGGCTGGCCAGAAACTGACTATGCAGACCTGGCTGGCCATGACCTCACAGAGATTCATCAGCTTCTGCCTCCTAAATGCTGGGCTTACACAGCCAGTTTAAGGTGCTAAATCTTTATGAGCGTGTTTCATGTGGTAGAAACATAATCAGGGAATGCTGAGATGCTTTGTATACACATAAAAGCCTGTACTGATCTGAAAGACTCAGGCTGGACTTGAGATGTGGAAAGCAGTGATTAGACAACTCGAGTTTAAGTCCTGGCTCTGCAACCTTGACTGTTATTCTTGAAGGACAATCAAGTTCCTAGTGTAGAAGATTGGAATAGTAGGGTTCTTTTGCAAGGGATTAATTGAAATGTGAGAATAGTCTTTTCAAGCCTCACATACCATGTGTGCCAAGCTAAATCGGTGCTGCTTGTTTTTTCCAGGGACCACTTTGTATCAGGATTAATGGAACTGCCTGTGCATAAGTGACCCTTGTAGGCATGAAATCCAGCACGGTGACAAATAGCAGTGCCTGTTTCTGGGAGAGTTATTTGTAAAAAAAAAAAAAAAAAAAAAAAATCTCTAACCAATGATACTTTGATTCTTAGAACTAGTTCTGTGGCAAGATTGGTGGTTGATGGTATGTTATCCTTCTAATAGAATCATGGGAATTCTGGGGTTCTAGTCTAATCCCTTTGTTACAGAGACCGAGGTGAGGGAAGCAACACAGGAAGTCAGAACTTACCTCAGGGACTTGCAGCATCAAAGACAGCATGCTTTCTGCCACTGTGGGCTGGAGGCTGTGGCTGGGAGTTACAGTTAAATTCCTGCTGATTGTCTTCTTTTGCCCTTTTTTCATAATTCTGTGTTTATAAGCAAATATACTATATTGTACCAGCTATATTGCCTGTAGGGAAACACAGCATTTTACTACTCTGTGGCGGGTACTGAAACAGGGCGAACAGGTTCCTGGAGTTTTGTAGAGAGGGCCATGGGGAGAACTGAGTCTGACCTCTTGGACTTGCTCCTCTCTGGGTGTTACTTTGTCCTGTGCTTCTTCTCCCAGGAGGCTTCAGTCTTTCCTGCAGTGACTTATTAACCAGCCACTGCCCTCTGGAGAGGGAGGGAGAGCAGGGTGCTGGTAGAGGAGCTGGAGTCGGGCCTCTGAAACAGTCCATCCTGCAGCCAGATGCTTGGATTGCCTTTCCTTTCAGTTTCCCCTTCCCACCCTGAGGCATCGCCAGCAGCTCTCTAATGGAAAGCTTTTCTTCAATGCTTGTTGCTTCTGATATGTTTTGCTATTTTTTGTTTGTTTTCAAGACAGGGTTTCACTGTGTAGCTCTGGCTGTCCTAGAACTCATTATGTAGATCAGGCTAGTTTCAAATTCACAGAGACTCTCCCTCCTGAGTGCAGGGATTAAAGGTGTGTGCCACTATTCTCGGCTGAATTTTGCTATTTTAATGTCTATAAAGCATCTAGCATTCTCGATAAGAAACACAAAATACTTGTGTTTTTTGTTTGTTTTGTTTTTGAGACAGAGTCTCATTATATATCTCTGTATGGCCTGGAAGGAACTCTCCATATAGTCCAAGATGGCCTTGAAGTCAGAAAGATACCTGTCTCTGCATACTGAGTGCTGGGATTAATGGGGTGTGTGCCACTATACCTGACTGTGATTACTAAAAAAAAACCCAAAAAACAAACAAAAAAACCACATTTTATGTGTATAGGAAATTTTGCCTGCATATATGTTTGTGTATTGTGTCTGCCTGGCACCTGTAGATGCCAGAAGAGGCCATCAGTTTCCCCAGAACTGGGATTATATAGTGTGAGCTGCTGCTATGTGGGTGCTGGGAACTGAACCTAGGTCCTCTAGAAGAGCAGTCAGTGGTGTTAACCACCAAGCCATCTCTCCAGCCCTTCAGTGACTACTTTTAAAGCTCTGTGATTGTTTTGATTTAAAAAGCTGATTATGAGAAGATTGTACAATGTTCCTATGAGCTATGAGAATGTGCTAGCTCTTCTCCCCCAACCCCCAGACAGGGGCTCTTTATGCATCAGTTCTGACTGTCCTGGAACTAACTTTGTAAACCAGGCTAGCTTTGAACTCACAGAGGTCCATTTGCCTCTGCCTCCTGAGTGCTGGGATTAGAGGTGTGTGCCACCACCTCCTGGCAAGAGTGTACTAGCTTTTATTTATTCATGGCTGTCTTCTCTAGAGCAATAGGGCATGGTAGCCATGCCCTACTTGAAAGACTAGCTCATGTAAACAAATCACCCAAGTCCTGAACTTCAGACAACCATATTCAGTGTCTTCTGGTCTTTACTCTGCCACTTGATATCCGGGCATAGTAAATACCTAGACTGTCATTGTTGTTTCTGCTATTACTGTAATTCATAGTACCAGGCACTATACGAAATCTTCACATTAACTCAATGAGGTAGACACTATGATTACCTCTATTTTAGAGAAAATGAATCTGAGAATTAGAAAGATTAAATAACTTGAATAAGGTCACCTAGCTAGTAGGTGTTCGAGCCAACAGTTTGGATCCAGAGACCAGTTGCATCTGTCTCTAGAGCCACTCCTCTAAGACATTCCTTCCAATTTTCAGAAAAGTCTGTAACTTGTAAAGGCCTAAGTGACTAGGAGATGAAGCTGGGGCCAGGTTATAGAAGCCTTGAATTGAAGCACGATTAGTAAAAGCTCAGGGTCAGAAATTGGGGTTCAACCTGAAGATCCGGAAAGCAAAACAGCCAGTCACTGGCTCTTACCTCAACCTCAGTCCAAAAATGGCGATCCTTCCTCCAGGAATCTCAGAATGTTTGAGAGCTGTTTCCTCCCATTCTATAATCCTTTCCAGGGCTGGGATTAGAAGCGTGCACCGCCCAGTTTCTATGGCAACTAGTGTGGCCAGTGGGATTAAAGGCGGTGTTACCGTGACCTGGTATGTAAGGCTGACTAGTGGTACTGTTTCACTCTCAGATCTTCAGGCAGTCTTTATTTATAAAACACAGTTGAGATGCCACTACATTGAATGCCTGGTGTTAGAATCACCCCAGTTTTAGGCTTTCTTAGGGAAATTACTTTCTTTGTGTCTTTAATTTTTTTCATTGCTGAGGATCAAACCAAAAGCTTCATATACGCTAGGCAGTGTTCAACCACTGAGTTATAACATAGCCTCTTCCTGTCACTTGTTTAAACTGTAAAACTTAACACTGACGTTCTAAACAAGAATAATAAAGTGAATACCAAAATGCTGTAGCCTCCTGTCTGCACTGGAAGATGGAATATTACCAGACCGTTTAGAACACCTGTGTGCCTCTCACTAGCTGTCACTCTCTCCGGATTCTGTCAGGACGCACATTGTATTAGCCAACTCCTCCCCATCCCTTTTCTTCCTTCAAATGTTTTCAGTATTTCTATCCTTCCTCTTTTTGGGGGGGGATGTTAATGAGTGGCTTGGAGAACCAGGCCAGAGCCAAGTGATCTTTCTTGGATAGAAGGAGCTAAGGTAATTTTGTTCTGCACTGGAGAAGAGAGAGTAGTGGATAAACTTGCTAAACTAGCCCAAAAGTTATTTGGTCTAAAAGTTTAAGGACTTTCTGGCCTGGCAGTCAGAGACTGGCTCAACGCTCCCCAGCAACCTGGCCACCAGGATCTCTACAGGGTGTATGGGCAGCCATCCACCCAACACTGTGACAAGCTAACGCCAAGCAGGCAGTGGATGCTGGGGACTCCACCAGCACCATGGCCCGGGAGTTATACATTCAGAGACCTGCCCTTCTTTCTGCCTTCCTCTCTCCTTTCTCCATTCCTCCAGGTCTTTTCCTTTTGGTTTTGTTTTATTTAGGGTCTTGTTTTGATTTTTTTTTTTAATTATTCATCTCCTGGATGAGGAGGTGCTGGTGGGAGCTGGCCTGAGTTGGGGCTGCAGGTGGTCCTGGAGTTGGAACAGTGTCTATCTCAAGGCACTGAGCTCTCTAAAATCTTTTCTTTTTATTTTTTTTCTTTCTTTTTTTTTTTTTTTAAGCCCACTCCTTCCTTCCTCTACATAGCTCCCATGGCTGGAAGAAGCCTTTGGATGCCAACTCTCCTCACTTACCCTAGAAGATGGCCCAGTGCCCGCTGGCCTGTTTCTCTTCCTTCCAATTTTTCTTCTGGGCAGTTTGATCACTGATGGAGTAAAGAATGACCTATAGATTGTGGAGTTTTGTTTTGTTTTTTTACTTTTTTAAAACCAAGAATGATTTCTTCTGCCTCCTTCTCACCGTGTTCACAGACGGAGTTAAAGACCACATCTCACATCTCAGGCAGCTTTGACACCTTCAGCCTGAGTGGAAACTTTTAAAGCCAGGAGCCCCAAGTCCAGGAAAGGTGAAGAAAGGATTTTGCCAATAATAGTGACCACAGCGAAAGCAAATAATAATAATAATAATAATAATAATAGAAACAAAAGAAATAGTGAATAAAAACCAAAAAAAAGTTTAAGGACTTGGTATAGAAATTCCAGAGGAGATTTCAAACCTTCTAAGGCTGGCCACCTAGAACCAGTCACCTTGGGTTTAGAGCAGGAGCAAGATGGGAGATACAGTATCAGTTCTATCTTAGGTGTGAGGTTTCAGGACTGACAGTTCCAAATAGGACTGTAGAGATATGGTGGAGAGTTTAGCAGGCCTTTTATTTTTACCCCATACAATTTCTGGGGTATTGATTATGCCAGTCTTTAAGTTATTTTTTTTTTTGCTACTTTCTTGTCTATGAAATGTAAGAATTTGTGTTTGTGATAGTCCTTTGAATATGAGCCTTCCTTTTTACTAATAGCAGTTGCTAAGTACAGAGTACAAAGGGATGTAAGGTAAGCCTGGGGAAAGCAATGTCTCTCCAGTGGTAGGTGTATATCTGACCCCACCTCATCTCCTCTACATAGCCTAGACATCCTCTTGGTGGCTAGAGGTTGTGTTTGGAAGGCTGCCATGCAGTATAGTTCAGTGGAACAGACTTAATGAGCTGTGTAAGTTAGAAACTATGACTGATCATTAAGAGGGAGTTGACATTCTAGATGGAACATAGGATTTATGTGCAAATACATCTAAGTTTTATTTTGATCTGTGTACGTGGTTATTACAGTGTTTAAATGTTTTAAAAATGTGTGTTTGTGTGTGTCAGAGAACAGCCCTTGGGAGTCAGTTTTCTTCTACCATGTGGGTTCCAGGACTTCACCTCAGGTCAGGCATACCTTCTGAGCCATCTTGCCTTCTTGTACTTGGCTCTTAAAAATAAATCCAGCCAGACTTTGGTGGTGCACACCTTTAATCCTAGCACTTGAGGCAGAGGCAGACAGATCTTTTGAGTTAGAGGCAAGTTCCAGGAGAGCCAGGGCTACACAGAGAAACTCTATCTCAAAAAATTAAAAAAAAAATCCAAACATAAAAACGTAGTATAGGAAGTTCCCAAGTGATATTGTTCCCAATAGTCTGGTACTGTTAACTGTTGACTGTTGGGCGGATTGAGACTTGAGCTGTCCCTTATAAGGTAAAAGTCAAGAGGTGGGCTGGTGGGGAAAAGGCACCATCTCCTGTTGCAGGAGGAACATCTTCTCCAACTTCTTCCACACTGGTAACATCTTCCAGGACAGTGGTGACAGGAACCAGCCTATGTGAAGCATCCATGAGCACCTATGTGCTCAAAGTCAGTGTGTGAGCAACCTTACAGATGTTACTGAGTCAATAATCAGACCTTAAAGCAAAAGAGGCTCTAACTTGTTTCTTCATAGGAATCTGAAGCTCAGAGACGACTTGTCAGGGTTATGGAGTTAGCTACAGGTGGTGATGATGTGTGGGAGACAGTCTCTCTGCATGAGCTGTAATCCACCTGCTTCATAAAGAGGTAGTGAAGCCTAATGAAATGGTGCTCATCAGGTCAGTAGAATGGCTCGGGGCTCGTTAGTGTGTACTCAGTGAACACCGGCTGCTCTGCCTTATGGCATCCTTGCGTCTGATTCACACATCGTCCCATATGTTTCTTCTCCCACTACAGTTCCTCCTAGTTTTGTTTTGTTTTCATTTTACTATGTTGCCCTGGCTGGCCTGGAACTCTAGTAGTGGACCAAACTGGCCTTGGCCT